AAGACAGACGAAGAACTTGTCTAAATTGCAGCCATTCAGGCTGCACATGAGGAAGGGGTAGTCTCAATTTTGCAAATTTCTTTAAGAGACATTTTCTGTTGCTGAAAGAAATCAAGGGCTCCCTATGAGAAGTGAGGCGAGCTGGAAGTCGTCTAGAATCTGAGCTGCCATGCTGGAGACAACCAGAGGTTATTTAGTGAGTCATTCTTGTATGATGAGAATATTTTAAAAATAACTCTCAGGGGAAAAATGTATTATGAATGTATATGCAGAACTCCTGCCTCAATTTTTGCTAGTAAAACCCCAACTTACTGAAGGGACCAGCTCCCCTTTCGGCAGTCATAATGGCCAAACACATGCTTGTCTGACCTTGTCCTAGACACTAGAAAGTCAGATGCCTGCCTCGTGACAAGGAACCAATCAGAAGTTAGCTGGTGGCGCTATGCTTTACCACCCTGGGTATACTTTACGGACAAGCACACAACAATGACGCGGAGCATAGCAACCACCCTGGGAGGGCCTATGGGCCATAACAACCAGTTGGCCAATCAACACAGGGCAAACCCTCCAAGCCTGGAGGCACACCAATAGTGAGCCTGAGCGTACCCCTAGACACTCCACTTACGCTGCCCTACAAGATCTCTGGTGCGGCCCTAGGTCTTGTCTTTGCTAGCCAACCACCACGGTGGGTGGGTGAAAGACCCGAGCTAACATGGGGTTAGCTCGTTCAAAAAACAATGAAGCCTCGTGCAGTTTGCAGCAAGCTCTCGAATCTGCCTGGTGATTGGGGTGACCTCGGTCGTGGCCTGGGACCCCGGATACCTGAGTTTTCCGGGGGTCTAACATTACAAGATGGGAAATGGCAGCTTGAGAAGGATGGGTGTCAGACAAGTTTTGCCATTTTTCTTAGAAACTATCCAGAGGGAATAAGCACACTGAGAAACAAACAGACGAGCAAACGCCACTTTTGGCATCACAAGGTGAAACTCAAACCACACAAACTGCAGAGGGAGTGGGTCCCAGTGGACAGGCGGGCTGCAAGAGGTAAGAGGTGTGTTCACAGTCCCTGGTTGCAGATCAGGCTGAGGGACATTCCATGGTAAAGATCGTGGAGGAGAGATGGCAAGCCAAGTCTAAGTCAGAGGGAGGCCGACATGCAGAGAGACTGGAGGCAGAAGGAATGTGGGCAGGGCTAAACAAAATTTGGTGAATCACACACATTTGTAGGTTGGTCTCAGTCTGCCAGCAAGAAAACCATTGAGTAGCCTAGAATTTGGCTTTAGATGGTACAAACTAAGGTAGATCACCACCTAAACCCTGACTTGTGCGAGAGAGGGAGAGAACAGAGGAGACAGGGGAGGACAGGGACACAGTGGAATTTTCAAAGGTGTGACCCCAGTGACCTACCTCCTCCACCTAGTCCCCACTTCCTAATTTGTCTCTCTCCTAGCACTGCCACCAAGTTATGAGTCCACCATTAGGGTCATTCATGCCGTAGGTGAGAATCTCATGACATAGTGGCCTCCCTCAAGTTCTTCCCTGAGTACTGTAGCCTTCAACATGTGAACGTTGTAGGCTAATCATAATACACACACGCGCATGCACACACACACACACACACACACACACACACACACACACACACACTTCTGACCTAACTACACCTGTGCCTTGTTGCTAAAACATCTGGCAAAGTACAATAGTAATAAAGTGAGTGACAGAAGGTGGACGGGACAGGGAACTCAAAGGTTGAAGAGACACCAGTGTGGAGTAATGAGACTCGTTTTTTTTTGTTGTTGTTGTTTTTCTTCCTCTTAATTACCTGCTGGCTTTGATCTGAAGGCTGGCTGAAAGGGGAACAACCAGAAACAATCAGAAAACAAGTTGGAGAAACCTTAGCATCCAACCACAAGGCTGCTGGGAGCAAGATCATGAGTTGTGAACTACTCATGGTTTTCCTTTCCGAGATTAGCCTGGTCAAGAAGCTGACATCTAAGACAGGGAGGAAAAACAACAACAACAAAAAAAAAAAAACAAAAAAAACAACTGTCCTTCTGGAGCTGTGGTTCTCAACCTTCCTAAAGCTTCGACCCTTTAATGCAGTTCCTCACATGGTGACCCACAGGCTCTAACAGGCTGGAGCACGGCAAACATGGCACCGATGGGTTTTGCCTTTTTCTCCCTTTCCCTCTTCCTTGCTAAAAACTGTAAGATTACATTTCTAAAGTTAGTCCCCACAGCACACTCCCTTATTTGGTCATTAACTCATTCCTGAGACTAAACGCCAAGATCCAAGACTCAAAATTCATTATTTGGCTAACATGTCCAATCAGGACTTACCAGCTCACCCTAGCACAGATCCCCTTTCTCCTTAAAAATCCACTCCTGCAAAAATCACCTGCTTGCTGGTGTTGCTTGTGTCTGCCTTGGTGCCCCCACCTCCCCCACCCCTGCCCCAGTCATGTGTGCACTTGCCCCTTAAGGGTGATAGAATTTGGTGTCTGAGTGTGTCCTGTACTGACTCTGAGGGGAAACACTCCCTTGCTTATTCTTATTACTATGTCATAACTGTAATTTTGCTACTTTATTAATCATAATGTAATATCTGTGTTTTCTGTGGTCTTAGGCCATCCCTGTGAAATAGTCCTTTGACCCTCAAAGGGTTTGCGACCCACAGGTTGAGAGCCACTGTTCTAGAGAGAGCCCCTGGGGAGTGGGGCTCCTGGGAGCAGCAGAGAATGGCGCTTTGAAAGGCATGTTGAAGGGGCCTAATTCTGGGTGGTTTGTTATGTAGCAAAGGATACTTAATACAGGGGTTCATGCCTGTCCTAGCCTGCTTCAATAAAACACGGACCAAGAACAACTTGGGAAGGAAAGGATTTATTTGGCTGGAGACAGGACCTGAAGCAGAGAGCATAGAACACTGCTTACTGGCTTGCTCAGTTTGCTTTCTAAAACTGCACGGTACGACCCGTAGTGGGCTGGGCCCTCTCACATCATCAAGAAAATGCCCAGACAAGCCTATAGGCCTATGTGGTGGAGGCCATTCTTTAATGCTCCTTCTTCCCAGGGAACTGCAGCTTGTGTTGGGCTCTCAAAAACTTTTCCTTAGCAGGCACAAGGTCTTGGACTGAATCTCCAGTGTAAGGATCATCTGAGCAAAAAGGATTTTAAAAAATTCCATTCAAACGATGTTTTTTGAATACTTCCAATAAAATACCAAAAGATGAACTTATGTACAAGGATGAATATAAGTTCAGGGGGTGAGTAAAACAGGAACCCTGCAACTATAATCCCACAAGTCTACTGAATCATTAATTGGCTCTAATAAAGTTCGTGAACGATTTGCCTTGGTTTTCAGAGAGGAGAGAACTTCAGGACCCCGCTGAGACACAGCCAAGAACTGTTCCTTAAGGCAGGGAGGGGGCTGGGAGAAACAGCCTCCAACCCGGCATACCTCCAGGGGTGGGGCTGGAGGCCTTGTCCCCTCTGCGGCTGCCAGAAGCCAGGAGTCAACCCTGTTTGGCAAGGGCCAGAAACCGGAAGGGTGTGGAGGGTGGAGGCCGGAGGGTAGGGGTGGGACGGTGTCTGAGAGTTCTAGGAAGTGCAAGGGGATCGGGAACCCTATGGATCCCTGCGGGTGAGGTTTCAGTTACCAGTCGGGTCTGAGCTTCTCATCACCTGGCACAACTAAACCAGACTTGTGCTCACACTGGATTCTGGTCTAAGAGATTAAGAAAGAGCCTAGTCCCCTCCATTCGCGACCGCGCCAGGCCGAGCTGGCCGGCGAGCCCGGGCCCCAATCCCACCACGAAGACAGCCAGCGGGGCCCCGCCCCTCCCGCCCAGGCTCCACCTCTGCTCGCTCCAATGACAACAGGCCAGGCCCCGCCCCGAGAGGCT